CCGTATGGGGAAGCAGTATTACCGACGCAGAGCTTGTTCGAAGCACGACCAGGAGTCATGTTCCCATGCTGATATATCGACTGCTTCTCTTGATCAGCGAACAAATGACTGCGAACTGGGAGGCCTTCGTTTCTCAATCATAGCTCAGCAATGAAGAGACCATCTAGCCCTGGGCTAACCCAGACTTCACTGGTAATGTAAAGTGTGCATCCCGGCCTTAGTTCTACGCCTGATGCAACTGGCCTCCCAGATATTATTCAAATAGGGACAATGGAAGCTGAGCCCTTTTTGTTATGGAACCAGGCTGGCCCTAGACCGGTTCGTAGCACAGTATAACCCCAAAGGTGAAATTTGATCTTAAAGAATTAGAACATAGTAGCTTTTAATACAAACAAAACAAACAGAACCATACCTTTTGATCAGCTTTCAGCAAATCGATAAGCGGTTGGCAGGCTTCCTCTAGCCCGTCATCCACGCACTTCTCTAAATTATCCCCTTCTTTCTCAAACTGAGCCTTGTCCCGAAGCCAGTTGCCTAGATTAAGAAGTACCGTTTCAGTCGTATCGCCAGTGATCTGCTCTAGGGCGAGATGAGACCTGCCAGATGTATCTTTAGCCATTCCTATTCCCTCTTTCTGCAGATTAAGAGTGGCAATCAAAATTTTGGCGACCTGAACGATCTTGTCGTCGTGCCTCCGTTAGGTGAGTGATGGTCAACAACATTAACTGCCCCGCTGAGGGGCAGTGATTACTAAGAGACTAGATCATGTGATGTACCCAAAGCTAGGTTAGGCATGAGACCCGAAGCACGTGACTATTAGTATTGGAAATCGTTAGGGACACATCCCCCCAACTTAGGGAGACACCCCTCCAACTTAGGGACACACCCCCCCAACTTAGGGACACACCCCCCCAAATTAGGGACACACCCCCCTGCTGTAATTAGTTAGAAGTAATATCATGTGACCCGCACCGGTCGCTGCAATCCTAAGTTTTTAATTTACCATACAAAAATAAGAGATAGGAAAACTGCAAGATAGGCTTTGAAAGTGTTTATTTTTCTCATTAAAATATTCATTTATAATCCACTGCTTAGAACTTGATCACGCCTGTCATCTCTGCTGGAATACCTTTGTATTTACCGCGGTCTGTAAGCTGCTAATAAGCAACACTGCGGCCACAGCCACGGCCACCTCGCTGGCGCCCTTGCTAAGGCTGATTATCTATGTGATGAAGCCATCTTACGCAGTAATTCTTTTGATGCGTTGACCTTTACTATATATAAATATCCATGAAGCTTTTGCGTCACTATCTGGCGATACCCTAGCGTTATGCCCTAGCCCTTATTAAAGCCCTGGTGATAGAACATTTTTAGCTGACATGTGATGTTGATTCTAACTAATTACAGTAGGGGGGTGTGTCCCTAAGTTGGAGGGGTGTCTCCCTAAGTTGGGGGGGTGTGTCCCTAACAATCACCTATATATATAACCACCCTTCAACCACCATGATTCTAAAATGATTATTAACCACTACTTATTTAACCCCCCAGATATCGAATCAATATTCTAGACATAGATTAGGATGATAATAATTACCATATATATCATATAAAAATATTAATTTTCTATAAGCATGCTGGATTGGCCCTAGGCATGTCATCTATTAAGGTGGTGCGTGTGGCTATTCTAGCATGGTGTGGTGGGAGGTAATCATGGTAACAAATTTATTTTGGCCGGTTTGTACATTCAGTCCGCCGTAGTCCGCCGTAGCTGCGGTCAAGCTCGGGTTGAAAGCCAATCGTACAGTCACTACGTGGTGGGAGTCAAGCATTTTGCTTGATATATCCGTAATCATAGATTTTATCTAAACCACATACTATTATTCTTTTTGAAGCTATTCGCACCACCCAACATGCCTAAATCTACTAAAATTGATGAATCTTGCATGGTCAAGGCCTGCGAGGCTGCTCGAGCCCAAGAAAAACCAAATTTCGCCCAGATTGCGCGTGAATATGGCGTTCCTTACATGACCCTACGTGACCGCATCAAAAAGGGTAGGCAGCCTCGTACAGCCCGGAAACCGGTTAATAAAGCTCTTGAGGGGTATCAGGAGGAAGCCTTGATACGCTGGGTAGCCTATATGCGTGATGTCAACATGCCAGTGACGTCTAGGTTACTAGAAGATTATGCAAATCGGGCACTTAAACGCGCTGGTATACCCCGACAGGTTGGCAAGACATGGGCATATCGCTTTGAGAAACGTCTCCCAGAACACCTTAAACTAGGTCTGGTGAAGCAAAGACGAAGGAATCAAAGCATATATCAGCTGAGGATGCAGGGTTACTAGGACACTGGTATAATCAGCTTGCAAATGTGGTCAAAGATACACTAGCGCGGCTGGTATATAACTTTGATGAATGTGGCTTCCAACCTGGTGAGGGTATATCAAGGAATGTAATCAGTACAAAAGGTAAAGGTAAAGGCAAATGCAAAGGCAAAGGAGGTGCACCTGATCTTCCTGAATCAGAAAAAGGTGAGAATATCACAGCTATCAAATGTATAGCTGCAGATGGCTGGTTAATGGACCCATTCTTTATCTTTAAAGGTAGGTTTCTGTTCTTCCTGTTCTTCTCTTCTAATACTAACCTATTCTTCATCTCTAAAGGTGGCGGTATCTTCATGCAATGTTGCTTCCACAAGAGCGAGGCTTTACCACCACATACGACGATAGCAACTTCACCCAACGGCTGGGTATCAGATGAACTAGCCCTTCAATGGCTTCAATGTTTTATCGAGGCAACAAATGAGCGTACGAAGAGGGGAGAGAAACGTATCCTTTTATTTGATGGTCACAGCTCGCATCTTACTATTGGATTTTTGCAAAGATGCGAAGATAACAACATTATACCCTTTGGATTCCTTCCTCATTCAACTCACCTCTGCCAGCCACTAGATGGGAAGCCATTCTTGAGCTATAAACAACACTTCCGACGCATAAATAATGATCTATATTACTGGGCTGGTGAGCCAGTAGGGAAGTCAGAATTCTTACGGGTGATTGGACCTGTACGGGAGAAAACCTTTAACCAACGAATCATCCGTGGAGCCTTCAAAGATCGTGGTATCTGGCCAGTTGATGGTAGTAATATAGTCGACGATCTTGGTAAGCATATATGGGGACAAATCCCAGATATCTACGCACCTGATCTCTGTGAGACTACTACACCCTCTACACCCTCTCGACCACCATCTTCGTCTAGCATCAATATCTCACCTCCAAGGACAATTCAGGCCCTTGAGAAGAACCAGGCAAAGGTATCGTATCTACACACTACAGATCTTCTTATCTCAAAGCTAACTAGTGACGTGAAGCTATCCAAACACGCAGATCTTCTTACACCGAAGTTCCAACGGAACCTTGAACGGATATTCGAACACAATCGAATCGCCGCTGAGCACCTTGCTATGGCAAACGATACAATTAGTCAGATCAGAGCCGCACAAGCACCCCTACGGCGCCAATACACTAAGCGACAGGTTAAACCACTCAGTCAGAATGGTATACTAAAAGTACGCGATGCAAATCGATCAATTGCAGCAAGGAAGGCTAAGGAGGCTATTGCGGAAGAGAAGAGGTTACAAAGGCAGTGGGAGAAGGTGCATGGTAAGAAGCCACCACCAGCACCTATACAGGAGAATGAGGTATCAAATGGATCAGCAGAGGCAGCAGATGAGAATGATATTTTTTTTTTTTTGGATAGATAAACCCTAGTATAGCCTCAAAAATATGATTTTGTTGAGAAATCTACGGTTACGGTGAAATCTACGATTAGGGTGCGCTTGGCACGGATACTCCTGACCATTGAATTACCAGCCAGCCGTTGCCCTTTGCCCATAGGCTAGCAAGTGTCATATCCCTGCAACTAGGCGGACTAGAGGGATGCCGTCCGGCAGCCGGTGAGCAGACCTTGCTAATTCCAGTTAATCCACGGGGTAAATCCCAATGGAAGATAGACAAGCACGTGTTTCAATATCCGAAAGGCCCGTCACTGTGGCAGCTATAAATACCTCCGCGCGATCCGTCCTACCTCTACACGACCTTTCACTTGCGCAGACAGCTTGTTGCCGCCTTGATTTGTTCCCAATTTCAACCAGTCTTGATGAAACAGCAACTATCCGCTAACAATCTTAGTTCCAACGGATAATACATCAGCTCTGCAAAAAGGCACCAGAAACAGCTCAAGCCATCGCAAGAGCAATCCAAGAGAGTAACACTATCTCTATACGAGAGCGAACTGCGAGAATAATAAAGACTAATCCACTCCGGGAAGGCAAGCGGAAGGCAGAAGAGGATTCCTCTCATCGAACACACAAGTCTACCAGGCGCAAACGAGATGGTCCCACGGAAAATCCTGATCAATTGAGCAATGAAGTCAAACATGGGGAAGACTTCCGCAGGGTGTCACCTCTAAGTGAGTCTAAGGAGGCAAGCGCTGAGAGACCTGGAACGCCAACAGGAATCTATGGGCTTGGGAAGTCAATACCTCAAGAATTACACGCGTCAAGATTTGTAGGAAAATCACCCCTGATGAAACCGGCTGGAAAAAATTCAGTGGCCCTAAAGGAGCTGGGAGGAGGAAAAATCTCATCCCAGACTGAGGAAATCAGCAGAGACAGAATGTCAGGACTACCAGAAACCATTACTCCATCACGTGCATCCACACGGGCCCCATCTGTTTCCTCAGATACAGCCTTTGTCAAAGACCTAATCCCCTCCATCAATGAAATGGTCACTTCAGCGGTTCAGGACATCTATAACTTCTGCAAACACCCGGATGGTCCTCCGCAGGCTGTCTATCAAAGTATCCTACAGTCGCTTCATGGAGACCGCCCAAGAGATTCAATAACCGCATCTTCCAGCAACGGGTGGTCTGACGGCTCAATCTGGATGCAGGTGCTGAATATAGGATCATCCCAAGAAAAAAAAGTCAGATGTCTCAACATGCTGGGTTACATGGGATTCTGGGCATGGCAAAACCGCCAAATCGAACTTGCAAAGGGCGAGCATCGCAATAAGAAGAATGAACCTATGGGAGAAAAAGGAATAAAAACCCATTTACTAGATAAGTTACTGGACAGGCTGCAAGATATCCAATCACAAGGTGGTTTGACCACTGATACTAAGAAGTCAAGAAGGAGCCGCATCATAACAAAGCTTTATATAGGCAAAAAGCTGAGCACGAAGCTTGTGAAAGAACTCAGATTAGGGATATTGTTCAGTCATGACATCTGGTAAGATCTTCATATCTTACAACAATTCTCATCCACTAACAGTGCTTGTAGGAAGTATCTCAAACTAAGCATGAAAGAACTTAACAAACTTATTGCGGAGTTTAAAAAGGATGCCCAACAGATGAAGCTATTAAGGATACTTAGGCCACAATTGGAGAGATTGGTGAATGATGGGTCAAGCCATCTCCATAAATTCTATGAGGATCTCCGAGACAATGAGTTAATAACTAAAGACGAACTAACAGAGCTGCGGATCAATTATCCGGCAGAGAGTGTAAGTACTATGCAATTTACGACATCATACCACAAACTGACCTAACAAAATCAGGACGCATTGCCCCCAGGCGCTCTGGATGCTGCTGTCAAGCGCCTGAAGAAGCTCATCGCCTCAGAGGTCCTGAAGAAGGATAGCCTAGACAAGACTGACGCTATTAGAGTGAACAAACGCATAGAGTTGACCTGTGATATGTTTAACCGTCTTTATCCAGGTGAATGGCTGGACTGCTGGACCATTAATGTCGCCATGGCGCTTTCTGACAAGCCAACATATGTACGGTTTGGTATCAGCGTTCCATTAGAGGAGACTATAAACGACCAGTTACGGGAAGTCGAACGGCCGCTGGCAAGATGGTCCAAGACGATTGCGAACCACCAGCAAGAAGCTCGAGAAACATCTGGAAAGACAGTTCCCTTGGTACATTTCTGCCCCATCAACCACAACAACCACTTTACCCTACTCAAAATTAACGAACGAGAGAAAGTGATTCGACATTATGATTCAATGGCGAAGCCTGGCACGATCAGTGGCCGCAACAAAACGAAGATATCGAGGCTGGTTAAAAAGGAATTTAGTAACTTAGGATTTCACTACACAGAGGCCGTAAGTATTCAATACCTCCTGTTTCGCCTGTAATTAACTGAAGTGTGCTGTGATTATAGCCAACTCCGCAACAAAACGACAAGTGGAGTTGTGGTATCAGAGTTATCTGGAATTTCCGACGCGTGTGTAATGGACTTCCGATCGGATCATGGAATCAACATCTGGATCCGGAGCCCATGCTGTTGGAATTAGTGAAATCTTTGGAAGCCTGTGTCAAGGGGATATTATGAGGAAGTATGGATTAGGGTCACATCAGCGTGCTTCAGAGCACAGATCCTGGTCATGATCAGCGAGAGTACCTCAACGGTAGAACCTCTTCACTTCAGGTATGGCTTTTCACTTGATGCTACAGTCTTAAGGGAGTCATTCATATTCTAGTAAGATCCATTATTGCCCGCATTTCTTCACATTTAATACAGTTGCGAGTGGGTTAACAATGTCAAATTCTCAGCAATCTTCCATCAAGCACCCTCTTAATGGCACCAGCAAGGTTTTTAACCTTGTAACATCAATACCAGCAACAACAAGACCTTCGTTAAATAATCTCAAAAAGTAGAGAAATCCTAGAGAAGACAATTCTTTCCAGAAGGCAGAGGATAAACAAGTCATTTTGTTCAACACAAGTGAGATTCAGGAGGGAAGCATCTTCCTAAGAATGCCTTGCCAGGTTATATTGACAGCCCGGTGCCACATCCTGCAAGCTATGCGGGTATTGGTTCATCGGTAGCATTCTTTCTAGAAGAGGCCTTACTATACCTCTGGCGCATCTTGAAGATCAATGGCCTCATAAGTAATCACCTTATAGACAAAGATCCTGAGCCAAGTGATCAGCCCATCCTGGGTTGTCGCTGGCTTCTTGGTTTGGCCAATGCTATTAGACAGCATTTACAGGTCTAAAATACAGTCACAAAGAAATATCAGGGGCAGCAAGTACGCAAAGCCAGGTTGATTCGAGTATCCCATGGCCATGAACAGGAATGATCGTGGGGGGCGTAGGGAGCATATAGAGCCGCTATGTGACTCAGCTTCTTGATGTCCTGGGATATCCAACGCGTTTTCATTCAGACCCCTGCAATACGCTGACCACCTGACCATCAAATGACTATTATAGCCCCAAGATAACGCAGGGGTAAGAATAACCTTGGTTGATGTGGGAAAAGAGCTATGGCTTGGTCTGGCTTCGTGGCTCAGTCCATTGTCTAGCTGAGAAGCAGAGAGCTATTAGCTGTCACCGCCTGAAGCCCAATAATGGCACCGCCGGCACTTGGAACGAACCATCTCTACCGATCAGACTCAGTCATTGTCACTATTTCAACCCCTGTTCTGTTTCCATTGTTCCCCGTTGATATAGGACGCCCGAACTTATTGCCTGTGCTACCTCAGGTGACGGGACTCGGCTTTTTGACTAACTGGATCTTCTTTGGCCTGTTTAGCAGATTCTGGCTTGGTGACGGTAGGGTTTGAGGTACCGACACCCCAAACCAATTGGAAGATGGATGATAGCTGGTCATGGCCGTGTTGAGGCTGCCTTGGCGGATGTTATCTATTACTCTTTTAAGCAAAAGATACCTTACACTCGCAGACAATGATTACTTGCTTTCGACCCTGGCCAATCAGCGTCTATGATCTACGGAAAAAACATGTTCGAAGGACCCCACGATCGTTTCGAAATGGGAGTACAAAGAACGATTTGAATGATTCCATGCTCGTTTGATTCCTTTGTATCAGATATAGTTTCGATCGGCCGATATGTCTTGGCATCGCTCGAACGTGTGCTCGGCAGGGTGCGCCACTAATCTATCTCCGCACATGTACATGTAGTAATCAATCTCTGAGTGTTTTGGGGTCAGGCACTACTATTTGGTAGTGGAACAGTATTGTTAGAATCGGGGATACTGCTCCTGCATGGAACACCATAAGAGGTTGACGCGCAAACCTGGCTCTCTCAAGGGCATAAGGATTAACAGAGCCCATCATTGGTCCAGCTTTACTGAGGGCTGAGAAGAGCGGTGAGCTGTGTGAGAGGAATTGTCAAAGTGCAGGAGTTACTGAAATACTATTACCCTGAAAGAGTGACTGTCATGACGTTATTTTAGTACAGTGGTATATACCCCCTCAGCTGTCGCCAAGCCTATCAAATAGTGGATCTCCTGTGACCCCTAAGCAGGCCTGTAATTTGATTGGTCAACTAAAAACCGCTTACCCCAAGTGACCAATCAAATCACAGGCCTGCTTAGGGGTCACAGGAGATCCACTATTTGATAGGCTTGGCGACAGCTGAGGGGATAAGTTCTCTGACAGGAATCTAGTGGTAATGTTGGCTTGTTATCATCTCTGGGATATGAGCTTAGGAAATGATTGGCTCCCCTCACTAGGATCCCTGCAAATACTTGGACCATGTTTGTGTTAGTTCCTGTGAAAAGTGACTTTAATCAGTTGTAGACTGTGCTCAGATATTTTTGTCACTAGCACAGCTTCGCCCAAATCCCTTAGAATGGCTTGAGCATACTTCGGTCGTCTTGCGAAAATCTTTTCCTAGACCCCCTTAAAAGCCACCCTGAGAAATCTACGCCTTGCCTATTGTTCACCATCTACCGTCGCCCACCTGCTTTGGCTACACATATTATGGATGCCGTAAGCGATCAGTGCTCCCTGGCGGATATCGAACTCGTCTATGCGCTATGCCGTTTCTCTTATCAAATGAAGGCATTCTGCTGCGTGGAATTGCCAGTGTTGACAAAACAGCTAGTTAGCGATTTCCAAAAAGAGGTTACCGCCAGTATCCCGGTTGCAGATGGTCTCAATTCTTCTAGAAACGCCCATGTCTTTACATTAAATGGTGTGCATCAAATCCGCATGGAAGAAGGCCCACAGACATTCATCAAGGGAGTTCCTACAGCGTCCATAACCAAAATGCAGAAACTAAGTGTCGAGCACTGGAGAGTTTCTCTCCTTAGGGTTCTAAAAAAGATCCATGAGTGCATAAGACAAAATATGGCAACTATCATTGACGAAATTTTCACCAGTTCACAACAATTACCCATACGCTTGAAGATACATGAGATTACTACATCTTATCTTGACTGGTTATGCCAAAATCATGAACAAGAGGCGCTAGAAAGGTGCAGAGTTGAGCACAGCATACCTTTCACAATGGATACCAAGAGATTCAACCAGCTTGCTTCCCAACAATTACGTGAGGCCACCCAAGGAAGTCCTGACACTGCCTACAGACCCGAGCAGGAGATGATTGCAGTAAGTTATGAGGCTGAATAGTCAAGCAATAGATCTAGTGGAGGCTGACCATTGGCCATTCTTCAAGGCTGTGCGTGCCTACTACATAATTGCGGGTACACGTTTCGTGGATGGGATATATCAGAATGCCATTCAGCATCTATTCACACCTCTTCAGGATGATTTTTGTTCGGCTATCCAGAAAAAATTGTACGCTTCTGAGAATGCGAGTATAATCTCCGGCTCCTCTGGTTTTCACGGACCGCGATGTTCAACTAGCTGTTAAGCAGGATTTGCGTCATGGAACATGGGATTATTGCCCTGTGTTTGCAATGTGTGTTTATTGAAGAAGATGATGATAACCTAATACTGTCTAATGCTGCTTACTGAAGCTATAGCCCCTTTCACAGTCTGCACAGAAAATAATGACACTGAGCAACATGCAAAATCACTCACCAGCCAATATCAGTTTTCTGTTATATTGACGAGGTTCTTAATTTACTGGGAAGTAATGGTTGACTGTAAACATATGTATAAAGGCTGTGATAGTAGTATCCTGCATATTGCTGAAAGCAAGGAATTAGGGTGTGAATTCAACACTGCTAGCAACTGAAGCCTACGTGAAGGGGACATAGAGAGGAGAGAAAAATGTTAATACGGCATCAAGAGTTAACTAAGCCAACATTTCCAAGAGCAAGTGAGCATCTATCACCACCATATCCATAGCCTACGTGCTACGTGTGTAGGTTGAATTGAATCATCTCTTTCACTTCTCCCTGTGTGGTCTCTGTATAGAAGCCCACATCAAGAGTTGCCAGGATGTCATAGCCACACAGAGTTCAAGCCGCCTTTTCCCTTTACACCTGTCACAATGCTGAGTGGTGAACTTACCATAAAGCAACTCAGAAGTCAAGCTGGAGCCTCAACTAAGCTTAAAATTAGATGGATTATTCAGTAGTACTATTTATAAGATTTATTTACTCCAGCAATGGCAAAACAAGTAGAAAGGGCACTACATGGTGAAGAAGACTGTGAGTTATGACAGTCGGCCATATAATTTTGTTAAGAGTCTATAAGTGAACTGTTTTTCTGCAAGTCCTGTCTGATTACCCAATACAGGTGCTGCCGCTTTTGTAAGGGCACCACATAAGTCCTTAGTGAGTGCTCCAGGTCGCTCACTGATCACTCAGTGAGCACGCACCAGCGGCTCCGGCAGCTCCTAGATTACTCTGGCATGCTCAGTGAGTCATCAGGAGCCAGGTCCTGCTCGCACCACAACCTGTCTCACATGACAGTCAACTAGTCTCTAAACTGTGTACAGACTGAAGCTCTCCGGCCTGTACAACACAACCCATCACTTTTGAGAGGGCATGGCTAAGACAAGGGCTGATTGTCTTGATTCGATCACTGCACACTATGACTTATTAAAGCATGCTTTCCAGTTCGACTCAGAGGAAGTGTGAGGAGAGCCTCTGCCAATAATGGTCATTTCATAATGTATTCCGCCCCAATCACAAATGTAAATACTGCATACATCGTGATGCTTCTCTCTCACCTTGTGTGCATTGTCTATGATATTCCCTTTTGCGATCTCTGTCCTTGTGTTGACCTGAACCCTTCTGGCAGTGGCTGTACATTCAGCTTCGTGGAAGGCCTCCCAGCATGAAAAGAAAAGAAAAGCTTGCCATGAGCTTCGTCAACAGCGGGGATATAACGCAAGTGCTCATTGACAGAAAGATGCCAAACAAACTAGGGGCAGAGCATCAAGGAAGACAAGACAGAGATATAGAGAAAGGGTG